AAGTACAAGTACTTTTTAAAAAAGTACTTTTGAGTACATTTTGAGTGCTTTCTGCTATATATATATACAGAGCTGTTAAAGTACTTTTGAAAAAATGCTTAAGTACAAATTTAAGTACAATCTAAAAAATGCACTTTAGTACAGTAAAAGTACTTTCCTGTGAAATGTACTTGAGTACAAGTACTTTTTGAAAAAGTACTTTTGAGTACATTTTGAGTGCTTTCTGCTAATATGCTAAAACACTTCAGCGCTTAAACAAAACATCATATTAAATATCATATCCAGTATATTTGACAAATTAGGCTATTTATTACTAAAAAATGTAAACAGTATACAAAGCATTTGAATATACAATGTACGCACTAAACAAAGGTGGAAATGGTCCGTGAAATTGAAAAAAAACCCAACCTAAACGAACAGACGCAACTTGCGGGTAAGTGATATTATGAACAGAACTTGTTTGAGCAAGACAATGTGATCAAATGTAAGTCAGTCCAAGAGGTCGGAAAGTTCTACAGAAAAAGTATCCAAATTGGAAAAAGTAGATACAAAGTTGCTCTTAAGAAAACATAAAATTGATGAAAATGGCCAGCATAGAAATGGAAAAGTGCATTGAATTCTTCATTAACAAATCCTCAAGGAATCAATAATGTAGCCTTAAGAAAAAAAACACAAAGTTGAAAAGAAATTTAGGCAGCCTAAAAAATTGTTAGATACCCATTGAGAACACAGTTTCAGTTTCAATTGATAATAGTGATCTGACAGATTTTGGTAACACTGTGTAGTCCACGGCGTCCACGACAAACCAAAATACAATATTGTAGTTTCTTAGAGTCTAGTAAGTGCAGTGTAACCGAAGATTCTCTACTACTGTAGTCTCTGCCTAAGATCCCAGTGCTCGGAAGCAAGGATAATATGGGATCTTAGCCGACGAAGCCAAGGAAGAATCTACAGTGACCCATGAACTGACGTGACCCCTGGGTGGATTTATGACATATGGCTATCAAAGAGTGGTCAACCTTCATGACCAATCACAGTGGCAAGACCCATGCCATAAATAATATATATACACTCATTAGCCAATCATGAGTCTTGAGATCTTTATCTACGTCTATCCAGTTGCCCCTCCCCTTCACCTGTCCCAACAATTTTAGCTTTCCATCTCTGATAGAGTCCCCCCTCCCCCCCCCCCCCCCAAACCGCCTTTGTCGTTACGCACCATTACGTTGTGACCACACCAAATAAAATTCAGGCTGTCACGCAAATTCGGGAGAATAGAGAAAAACTGCTTTCAATGGTCAGGGAAGAGTTCACAGTTTGATGTGATCCCGCCTGGAGCGAACTTGTAGGCCCTATCCACCCAGTGAGTATGATGTAAGTTTAGGTGGTGAGGTCAGATGCGAGTGCGATGTTTGGGGAAAAGAAACGCATCGGTCAGTTCACACCTCGGTGTGATCCCGTCTGGAGCAAACACTGTACCGTTTCATGGAGTTTTACAACGCTTGTGATCACATTCACGATATTGGCTGATCTTTGACGCGACGGGCCGTTCTTTGATCTCAACTTTTAACTCTTGGTTGATCGGCTGTGCCCGCCCGGGTGTTTGTTCCGTAAATTATGATCAGAAATGCTAGCACTTACCCTTTCATTAAGCTTCCAAAGTACTCAAAATGTACTTTAAAAATACTCATAAGTACTTTTATAAAAAGTATCAGAGTACAGTAAAAATACTGGTTTAAAAAATGTACCGGAGTACAGCAAAAGTACCGAAAATTGTAACGTAAGTACAAGTACCAGAGTACTTGTACTCCGTTACTACCAGCTCTGTATATATATTATTTATATATATATATATATATATATATATATATATATATATATACATATATATATATATATATATATATATATATAGTGAGGATAGTCTGAATGTTTTACTCCTTTCTGCTATTCTAATAGCTAGTGAAAAAGCGTAAATCGTATTGATCTGCGTATTGAAAATTTGCTGGTATAAATTGGCCTCGGCCTAGGGCGTAAGATTTAGGGGCGTCTCCCCCCATCCCCTCCAATGTCCTCTTGTCGACGCAGTGCGTCCGTCAGTTGGCCAAATACCGAGGTCCCAGTTCAGCCAAAATAAATCCTCTAAACCTAACAATATCAAACCCACAATTGAAATAAAGTCTTTTAAAAGTCTGCTGTGTTTTAAAGTTACTCAAAAAGAATAAAACAGTCTGTTTAGGAGAAAGAAAGAATAATTCATTTATAACTTGTTTTGGGAATTTTTTTTTCTCCCAACACTAATTTCGTTGTTTTTGTCTTCCAGTATTTTAAAGTACCAGATATAAATTCTTTAGCGTCGAAGATTATTACGCGTACGTGTGTAAATGAGCTTCCTGTTCCCGATCTAATTCTTTTTACTCTTATGGACTGTCGTTCTTGTCAAAAGAAAAATTGGATTCATAAATAATCTAGGCCTTGCAATCAGTTTCTTCAGGCTATGTGAAGTAAAGTAAGTAAGTGTTTTTGGTTTTTCAGGGGCCCAGCTGCGTTGCACAATTTGTTTGTGGAGTTGGTGTGAACCCAAACTGCTTCAGTTTCGGCAATGCACAGGGCACAGGATCAGAATGAGAGTCAGATGGAGCCAGCAGCAGAGGATGATGTTTGTTTTGAGTTTTGACGACCCTTCACCTCCCAGTCTCGCTTCACTTCCTACATTTTCAATACGATTCCAGTTCAATCCTAATCCCCGATTTTCTTAAGGCGGTTACTTATCGGTTAGTAAAGGTTAACAATCAGTTAACTAAAATATGAAGTGCTTATGTTATGATTGTATTGTTTAGGCTATATTTTTGGGTTGAATTTATTAATTGTTTGGATAGAATAATCTAGACTACTCTAGATCTAGACATCTAAATCTAGAGTCTAGAGGCTGGGGCCAAGATCTATCTAGACTCTAGATTCTAGATCTAGATATTAGATGATCTAGATCTAGAGTCTAGATGAAGATGGATTTATGATCAGTTAGCCTACAATTCAATTCACTAGATCTAGATCTAGATCTAGATCTAGATATCTAGAATTCTAGATATCTAGAATCTAGAGATCTATTTCATGATAGATCTAAGTAAAAAGGCTAGATCTAGATCTAGATCTAGGTCACAGGTGGCGATTTTGTAGTTTCATTCGTAGTAAAGTCCAAACAAAGCTGAACGCCAGAGACCCTGAATGGTAAGATTGAAGAATACCGGACCAGTGACCAGTGGACTGACTTTGCCTATGTCTCAACCTTAGGAATTCATAATTTTCCCGTTTTTACATGAATCTCTCAATCATACTCAATGGAGAATCTTGGACCGGTAGATCTATCGGTCCGGGCTTTGAACGTCGCATAAGCGTCAGTCTTTTTCCCCCCGGCAACTGATCATTATTACAAATAAGCTAGCCTTGACGTAGATCTACGTAATGAATTGTGCGCTGGTCTATGGAATCAAAAGTCTTCAACTCGCTCTCACTCCGCTTCTCGTGAATAGATATGAATGAAACTTGGCAGCCAATCAGAAAAGAGGTCAATCTTGTAGTATGCAGTTTGACAACATTGTACCCATCCAAGAAGTAGTCGAAAATGTTTGCGAAAGTGGTATATGTGGTGCGCTTTGAAGATTTTTCGGAGCTGTGAGTTGTCAAACTGACTGATACGTTGTTCACCATTTTTCTTTATTCGGGTCCCTTAAAATTTCATGCTTCTGTGTTTAGCGGTTTTTGCGTAATCTTTAAAAATGTGGGAGTAACTAAGGGAAAAAGCAACATTGCCGTTTGCGCGTACTGGGTGAACGACCGTCGGCTGGGAAATTTCCACTGACTGACGTCATCCGCCATCGGGCGCTACAAACGAGGTCCCGCGTGAACCGGAAAGGGGTGAAGGATACTTGAAAACTAAACGGGGGCCTTGATAACTTGCATTTTAGTCACAATACAATAGATGTAGTCATTTTTATTTGCTTGATTGCATGACAGAAGAATAGAAACAGAAAAGCAAAAATATCTTGAGAAGTGGTATGGCATTGTGTTTGCGTTAAATAATGAAAGCCTATTCCTCCCTCTGGGGAAAGCACACACTTGGACTCGTCCTGTGTGCTCTGTTTAGAAAAGTGAGGCATTAAAAAAAGATTGTTATTAAAGAGTACGGTACTTATTTAGTCCAGTCTGGGAAGATAGTCCCGTTTATACATTGATATCGTTCAGTGCGTGAGTGCGTGCGCGTGCATGTGTGTATGTGTGCGTGCGCTTGAAAGAGTGAGAGAGAGAGATAGAGAGAGAGAGAGAGAGAGAGAGAGAGAGAGAGAGAGAGAGAGAGAGAGAGAGAGAGAGAGAGAGAGAGAGAGAGGGGGGGGGGGGGGGGGTAAATATTACATTTTTGTAGTATGAGTTGTAGCCTAAACATGATGCGAAATATTCCCATGACTTGTAAACTATATTATCTAAACGCATCTTAATCTACCACACAATAGGACACTGACCAACACTGATACACAGAGACGATCTTATTTTCTATTACAAAGTATGCATGCTTTTACTAGTAGAGAACTGGATTTATTAGACTAATAAATCCAGTTCTCTTACATTTTTTATGACAAATTGATCCAGAGCATTGCTTGGCAAGGAGGAACCTCTTATGTTGCCAAGTTCCATTCAAATATCATGACTTTGGGAGAAGATATGACTGATAATCTTTGTAAATCTGTAAAGAATGCCACTTTTTTACCTGTTAATGTCTTTACAACTCAAAATGTATGATAGATATTAAACATTTGACAGCATGACTAGATTCTGCATTAAAAACTGTACTAGACTGCCAAGTTTCATTTACATACTCCAAAAAATAGGCGACTTATGACAAATATTGTCTCAAAACGCACCGAAAACCGCCACATTTTTACCTTATATTATAAACGTCTTCAAAACTCTAAAAGTAGGATAGCTATGAAAATTCTGAAAGCAGGACTAGATTCTGCACTAGAAAATGTACTGGGTTGTCAAGTTTCATTTAAATACTCTGAGAAATGAGCCAGTTATGGCGAATATTGTCTCAAAACTCATCAAAGAACGTCCCATATTTTGGGGGTTTTTTCATTATAAAAGTGTACAAAAAATTAATTGATTAAAAAATTCGTAACTTTTTTGTTTATTGATGGATTTCAAAAATTCAAAAAATTCCATGCTCTATGGAGATAGAGCTACAAAATGCACCTATTTGCAAACACTTTCTGTCAAAAAAACGTTTTTCGTGGTCATTGCTACATTATGTATAATGCTAAAGATAGTGTTGTTTTCAGACTCGACACCGCTTCACTCAGTGGCAATTGACAAAAAGTCAATTTTTGTCAATTGCCACCGCGTCACTCGGTGGCAATTGACGCTACCTTTCAGGTGGGCTTCACCTAACTTTATTATATGGAGGGGGGTGGGGGTTCAGGGGGCATGCCCCCCTGAATTTTTTTTACCATAGCCATTAGAATCTAATTTGATGTTTTGGTGTTAGGTTGCATCCCTGTTCTTTGTGTTGCCTATTTGGCCATCAAGACTTCCGGATTTCTGCTCTGGATATGGGTGGTGGACTTTAACGAACGGAACTACAAGATCACCCTAGTAGGCTAGATCTAGATCTAAATCTATTACTATTACGAAGTGGCTAGCCATACTTAAAGCCTACGGCTAGCCTGAGAGTCTAGCCGTACTTAGATCTAGGTTTGACCCTATCGACTCAAACCTGTTGAGTACGCAGAGGTCTCATTAGATGTAGATCTAGTAATTATTCATGTTTAAAATATGCAAGTCAGTACAGTAAGGCACCTTTTGGTTTTGTCTGAAAAGAGATTTTTTTTTTACATATGAAAGATTTTAGTTTTTACTGGGTGACTAAAATTTAAATGCAAAATAGGTTACTGCCAAGGTCAAGCAGTCATTTTCTTGAAGTAACTTAGTCCTACCTTTTGAAGGTATTTTCAAATGAAGTATAGTCCGGGAACGTTGCCCCAACCACAACTGAAGTATCTGAATATTCAGACGTTTAAAAATCTTTAGCTCTAGAAATTGAATTCGATGCAAAAAATGCTTTTTCCCAGTCCTCGCAGAATGGCAGAATGAAAGGATGACTCCTAAATCTCGCAAATAACCAAAAAATCTAGAGATCAGAAACCATTTAGAGAAATAGAGTTCAACTTTATTTTCTCGAGCGTTCGGAGAAATAAAAGTCACTTCGAATACTTTAGGCATTGCAAATGAATCGTTTTTATTTGACTTATAACTAAGATTTCCTCTCACGGTTTTGTATAAAAACAAAGAAACATAATAGTCATATAATTATTATAGATCTACAGTTGAACCATTGTAAGACGGCCACCCATGGTCAAGGAGAAAAATGGCCATGTAAGACAGGTGGTCGTCTTAGGCAGGAATGATATAGCCGCATTCTTGTTGTTGCTGTGTGTGTGTGGTAGCCTATCCGTTCGAAATGTTTGGAGCCCTTACTTAAGAGCGTTCTCTTTACCAGGGCCACCGCCTCTCTTGGGTAGAGGGTGAGGCAGTCCAACCTCCCTGAATCCTCCCCAAAGAGATGCCACCACCGCAGTTCTGTGGCGGGGCCTCTCTGCAGCCAGTGCTTCAAATCTTGGGGCTCCTCGCTGCACAATGGACAGATTGGGTCCGATATTTTGTATGTAGGCCCACGGCCCAGAGAAGTGACCGGTACTGATTTTTGCCAGTAGTGACTGGTCACTGCGGGACTTAATTTGAGCCTCTCGTTTAAAGGAAATTGCACTGTATATTTCCTTAGTCCGCATGTGGGATATCGGAGGGTCTTTTGTGATGAGTTTTATCTGGGCGCACGCACTTTCATGTAATTTGGCAACCTGGACCTGGCAACGCTGTTTTCAGTTTGGCATTACTGTCAGCGAGATGTTGTTGCTGTTGTTATGTTGTTTCCGCTGTTTTTTTTTTTCTTTCTTTTTTTTTTTCTCTTTTTGTGGTTATTGTGCAAGGGTGACAATAAAATTAAATGTGATCAGACAAGGAGGACTGAGTGCTATGGTAAAACAGACACATGGGTCGCCACCTCTCGGAGAACAAGCGGCATGTTTCTGTCACAGATTTTCTGCTGCTGGTGAGGTAAGCGTGTGGTCCCTCATAATCCTTAAGCCCCACCCAGAACTCATACACAAATCGTAAGTGAGATGAGTGGTCCCTGTTTAATTCCTAACGAACTGAGAATGCTTATTATGTGTCCCACACGCTCATATGACCTGTGCAGTGTCAGTACCATGAAACAATTACCAAATAAAAAAGCAGTTTTATTATTATGGTGGTACAGCTCTATTTGTCATCTTCCCGATCAGGTCGTGATCCGCCTCCGACCAGTCTGAGTCTGAGGTAGATGGATGATCGTAGAAACACGTGTTGATCTCAAGTCTCTGAGACGTCATCCCTCATGGAAGGTATGGGGGACAAGGAGTATGTGCCGACCACATCTCACCAGCAGGCTCAGCCGGGTAAGTGACCGTATGTTGAGGCATCGTGATGAAATCTGGCTCTCGACAAGATAATGAAATCGAAGAAACAGGCATTTTTCTACCAATTTGGCTACTTTTATCGAATTTTTATTTTTTGTCTCACACCTTTTATCATATATGTCCATGTATAATAACACATTTCCATGCAAATTGTACTAAAAAACGTTGATTTCAGGCCGGTTTCTACCGCTTTGTAAACATATGAGTTATGACATGGTGGAACCAGGCACTGGTCAATTTTTAAGCATATGTGGTTATTAGTCTGTTCATTTGCCTTGCTTTTGGTGAAAAAGTTTCCCATCTATCTTTAAAAGAAAAGTTGATATATTTGCAATTGAAGGAGATGGGGATCTGTTGGTGTCAGAAAATGAATTAAATTTCTAGGAGAAAATAACCGCCTGACTTTGGTGACTTCCAAATATGAGGTGTCCTTGGCCTTGGATACTACACACATTTTTTGTACCTTTGATCTACATTTTTCAGTAAAATTCCATGAAAGAATGTGTTTTTTAAATAAAAAAGGTGTGTAGCCCAAATAATTCCTTATTAAGTGTCATTCTACAGTCAATCAAATCAATTTCTAGAGGTTTCCAGATAAAGCCTTCTTCTTCAAATAAAATCATCAAGGAGAATGTCACAATATGATTTCGTTCTGTTTACAGTTTCTCTAAAGTGACTGAGTAACGAGTGCTCAAGCTATGGTTCTTCTTTCTCTTTAAATTTTCTCAAAAACCTACAAAAAAGGCTGAGGTTTTTATGGAATGATGGCTGAGAACATAATATGTAAATGCCTTAGAAACAATAAAGTTTATCTGAGTACAAGAAAGCTTTCACGTGATACTATGTATATATACTGAACGCCATTAAAAACTCAACGTTTTCAAAAAGTTATGAAAAAGCCTAATATGCTCTGATCTTCACGATTTTTGGAGACTCAAGTAGTGAGCAGTTGTTAATCCACAAACCCATGAACGAATTGTGCTATTTAAAGAGTACTTTTCATCACAATAAAGTAAACTATGCTTTAGTAAAATGTGTTCATTAGTTGCTATATTATAAACTAATACAACATTATTTACCTAAAAAATGACCCGTAGCTCTTTCCAAACAAAAGGCCTAGCTTTTTTTCAATCTTTTTCAATCATTTTATTTTATTTCTTTAGTTTCAAAATTCGTCAACTTAACAAAGCTGATCGCAACTTTCTCTTCCTCCTTTTTCGTGGCAGAAATTGTGCCTGAGAAGCAGCAATACAGTAAAATGCAGTGCATGTATTGTTCTCGACTTATACAAAAGATTTTAGAACACTTGAAATGTCCGAGACGGGCAAAGAATAGGACAGTGTTGAGTGACCAGCCGTGTTCAAGAGAGGCTGATTTTGCTGTCGCATATGCGAAATCATTTCGTTTCTCAAAAGTAGCAGCTCAAGGCATGTGTGGGGTGCGTAAAAATGTTTCTTTCATCAGTGTGAGGTGCGGAGCAGTAAGTACCAGACTTAAATCAAGAACGCCTTATTTAAGACTGCAATTAACGAAGTCGCGACAACAGCGCCGTCTTCAGGGTGTGAAACAGCACAAAGCAATAATCAGAATCTCTCAGTCATTCTACATGACACTCCTGCCCTTACACTGTCCATTTAACAAACAATACAGTTTCTGGAAGATCATAACATGAGTGTCATGGACTGGCCAGTGAATGTACCCAACATGTCTCCAACAGCGCATGTATGGGATAAACTGAACCGCAAAGTGTGTGCTGATTTGCGAATCTGCAGTTTTTGAAAGATCACACTGCCACGAAAGTGGGACAGTATTTCTCAACAAAACACTGACTATGTTATAAAATCCATGTGAAGAAGCGTTTTGGTCTGTTCAAATGTTTATGGTGGCCATACAACTTACTAAGGGTAAGAGATCTTTATTAAGCTTCGATTTGTGTTTATCTGCAAATTTGTCTTATGGGGGTACCCAGAGAGAAGGAGGACAATGTATCGAAATCATTTACTTTTGTGATAAAAAATGGTTCACATTTGTTGGAAATTGAATACACTTTAAAAAAAACTTCTTTTAATCTATATTCATTTGATACAAACGTGTTCAGACTATGCGAACTAAGTGTTGCATTTTTAATATATATATATATATATATATATATATATATATATATATATATATATATATATATATATATATATATATATATATATATAATATATATATCTTTCAATCTAAAATAATGAACATGATTTTATCGCAGAAAATAAATAAGGGAATAAGCCTTGTAAGTTTTATATAAGGTGCAGAGGGGGCACAATGGGATGGTGGGGCTCAGACACTTGTAGCCCCAAAGACTTAAAATCCTGAGTTTGAACCTTGCTACATTATCTTCAAAGTGAATAGAACATGCTATAGAGCATGGATGTTATTTCTGTTGTAAATTGTTATAATTATTATTAATATTATTATTATTATTATTATTATTATTATTATCAAATCATTATTATTATATTATTATCATTTTCATTTTTGTTATTCTCTATGCTTTTCGATGTGTCAGTGTTACGGGTGCTCTAAGGTGTGATTTGCTCCTTTTTTCCTGTCAAACAAGTTCGATATTATATGCACTGTCAGTATTGTTTAACTGATTCCATATATTTCTTTTTTCTGGTTCTACACAGAGTTATTTTTCCCTGTTCAATTTTTAACCCGGGGTGCATCTATTTAATACATTACTGTGAGACTCTAACTTACAGTTACTCTAATATGTATTGTCATGTACCAAATGGATGGGAATCAATAGAGGAATGTGGTGAATCAACACAAAATTGTAGAGATATCACCCTAGCACACATTTATGCAAGAATTTCACAAAGTTAGTCAACAATTTTTCACTGAAGGGCCTTTTAATAATACCAGGCTCCATGTCGTTCACCCTTATGTAGTGCCTTCATAGCAACAACAAAACAATGATGTTTGCAAGAATTTCTCGAAGTTTCGATTGATTTTGGTGCTCAGAGATTGAGGCCAGGTTTGTTTTCAAGTTCTACTTCCTTTCGACTACTTAAAAAGTAGGAACTATGTTAAAAAGTGCACATTTGTTTCGGATTTGGCTCAAATTTGAAGCCGCTTACAGCGGTCGAATGGCGATAGCGGGAGAACCGAGAGCCGTTGTCAGCTGCCGAATGGAGAGAATCTGTTAATATTATTTGATTTTTCACTTGTCTTCCTATCCCATTCCCCTTCCCCTCCCCCGTGATGTTTGATGTGAATATTATTTTATCATTATTGTACAATCTTTTAAATTTTTTTACGGTTTATTTTCTTCGTTTCTGGCTCCCTCTCCCTCATAATTATTGTGTTATCATCATCCGGTGCCTTGCCGACTGGCGTGGGCGATCACGGACCTCCACTTCACTCTGTCTTGCGTAGCAGCAATGGTGTCTGTTCTTGCAGCTCCAAGCCATATTGTCAACTTATCCAGTATCTTTTCCCTCTGTCTGCCTCTGCCTCTCTTTCTATCAAACTCGCCTGTTTTTACAGTATTCTCCTATGCTTCTTTCCGCATTGTGTGTCCAATGCCTGTGGCTTTCATATCATCACAAGCCAGCTGTCGTCTGCAATTTGCCTCAACCAAGACTTCTTTTGTTTTTGTAGATGTCCATGGGATACGCAGCATGTGTCTTATGAACCACAACTCTGTCGCCTCAATTGTTCTTTCCAGCTGTTTATTGATTGTCCGTGCTTGGCACCCATATAGTAGGATTGGCTCAATGTAACTTTTCTGTACTCTTTTTCTTGTTTCCAGTGACAGATTGGATTGATGTTTGCATGTTTCATTTTGTGGAAGATTGCTTTTGCTTGGCAAATGCGGCTTTTAATTTCGGTGTGACATCTCCCATCTGATGATATAATGGTCCCCAAATATTTAGAATGTTGTACTTGTTTGAGGGTGGTATCATTGATTTTGATATTGCATGTTGGGGTTGGAGTTTTTCTGCTTATCACCATTGTTTCAGTTTTCTTGATGCTTAGGCTTAGGCCCATGTTGTCACTCTCTTGTACGATGACATTTAATAAATCCTGTAGGTGTTCTTCATCTCATGCTATTAGGACTGTGTTGTCTGCATATCTTAGATTGTGTACATTATGTCCCCCTATCGAGATACCGGGCATTTCTTCTGTGTCTAATGATAGTTTCACTGTTCAGGAAATAATTGTGTACTTATATATATATATAATATATGTGTATAAAAAATTTGTTTAATTTTCATTACTCCTCCCTCCCCACCCTTTCCCCAGACATTGACCAGTTCTCCCCCCGTCCCCCGGACACAGGTGGTCCAGACTCACAGCACATCGAGTGCCTGAAGAAATGGAACTGGCGTAGCTTACCCCCGTACGGCCCGGCTGCGTTTGCCAGAGGATTCGACCACTCGGCGCTCCCACTGGTGGGCGGGCACCGTCCTCCTGACATGACCAGTCACATGAGCACCTCCGGCGGAAGTGACATGGGCGGTGGTGGTGGTAGTGTCGGTGACATTGTCGTCGTTGGTGGTGGTCAGGGGCTTGGCAGTGGTCATTTTGAGAGTCCTCCCCCTCCTCTTCCTCCCCTTCCTCCCCCTCCTCCTCCCGGCCTGCTGCTTCATAACAATCCGTATGCTCACTACGGTCCCTCGCTGAACGCTCACTCCTCGCTGGTGGCGTCGGGCGCTACTTCCAGTCTCCACGAGCTGTCGAGCTACGCCTCCAGTCTGTACAACGCGTCTGCCGACCTCTACAACGACAGCAGCAACAACAAACAGACCGCTGCCCTGTCAGACATGCCGGGACCTTCAGAGGAGAGTTACACCTCTTTTGTGGCTGGGCAGTGTTTGGAGAGGAAGCCTGTGATCACGGAAACGGATCAGATTGAGGAGAAGAATAATTTGGTCGCAGAACCAAACCAGTTTGAGTCCAAGAATACTTTGGTTGCCCAAGCAGACGAACTTGAGGAGAGGAAAATATCGGTTGCGGAGTTAAATATGAGTGAGGGTGGGGTTGCTGGGTTGAGTCAAAGTGATGCGAGTCGAAGAATTGAAGCCGGGTCCCCGCAGGTCGAAGAACAGGAAATTGTCACTGCTGAGTCTTCGCAGCGCCAGAGAATCGACAGAAATTTTACGGAGTCGACGCTAAGCGAGGAGAAAGAAAGCTCAGATGCCGAGTCTAATCAGAGTGAAGATGAGGGGCAGAAGGAGAAGGATGTTGATTCGGATGCCACTGAAGATGAAGAGGAAAAGGCTGTAGATTCTGATGCGACCGAAGACGAAGAAGAAAAAGCTGTAGATTCTGATGCAACGGAGGAAGAGGAGCAGAAAGGTCTGGACTCTGATGCGACTGAAGATGAAGATGAAAATGTCGATTCTGATGCCACTGAAGATGAGGAACCTAAAGTTGTGAAGCGGAGACGGAAGGCGGCGGCTCCAAAGAAACGTAAAGGTACCAGTTCAAAAAAGGTGGGAAAGTGCGTGGTGTGCGGGGAAAAGTTTCTCAAGGAGGCGGCCTTGAGGTCTCATCTGTCAGAACATTTGTACTACGACATGCAGAAAAATGTGATTATGTCACGGGCCGTTGGGGTTCCAGTCTCGGGTGGGAGTAAACAGGGGCAGCAGGGTGAGTCAGACAGCGGAGCAGTTGTGTTCAGCAGCAGTTTGGTTAACCCTTACGACTTCACCTTCACCTGCAGTTTGTGTAGCGTCAAGTTCATGCGCAAGAAGCAGTTATTTGCCCACAAGCACGCCGAGCATGAAAGTGTTAAATGCGACTACGAAGGAAAGACGCTGGTCCTCAAGTCCAAACCCTCTGTCCGCACGCCGAGATCGTACAAATCGGCCAACTGTGAGATCTGCGGGGCTTTCTTCAAGCGGGGCGAGCGTCTGAAACATCACATGATTCTCCACATGAAGGAGAACATGTACCAGTGCGACATCTGCCACCTCAACCTGGCCAACCCGTTCGCACTGAAGAAACACAAACTTCTCCACGTCAAGGACGAGTTTGGCCGCGCTCCTGGTCCCGCGGAGATCTTCGTCTGCGAAGTTTGCGGGAAATCCACAAAATCGAAAAGACAGCTCAAACTTCACATGACCGTACACACAGGGGAGAAAATCTTCAACTGCAACGTGTGCCACACAGAGTTCTCCAGCCTGGCACGACTGACCAAACACAAGAAGGAAAACCATTCGTCTAATCAGTTCATCTGCGATGTGTGTGGATCTGCGTACGGCCGCTCGCAGGACCTCAAGACTCACTACTACAGGGTGCACGTGAAGAAGAAGGCGGAGGAAGCCGCCGCTTTGTTGATGGGGACACAAGCTTTCACAAAGAGCGGGAAGAAAATCAAACGTTTTACGTGTGAAACGTGCAGTAAGGTTTTCAAAACAAAAGAAATGCTGAACTATCACGCGCGGGTTCATACGGGCGAAAAGCCCTACATCTGTAAAGTATGCAACAAAAGCTTCCGCTACCCAACCTCGCTAGCCTCGCACAAAAAAATCCACTCAGGGGAAAAGCCCTTCGAGTGCGACGTTTGCCACCAGCGCTTTCGGCGAAAAGACTATCTACAGGGTCACTACCGTATACACACAGGGGAAAAACCGTACGCGTGTAAAGTTTGCGGCCAGAGGTTCCGGCAGCAGGGAGACATGCTGGCACATCAGAAGAGACATGCGGGTCAAGGGAAGACGTTCAACGCCAACGTCAATGTCCCGCCCCCTGTGCAGCAGCATCAGGAGACAAAGAATGTGGCGTCACAGCTGATAAAGGTACTGTGAAGAAAAAAATGGTGAAATGGTAAGTTTAAAGTTTAATGCCCTTTATCAACACAATTAGCTTATAATTAAGAGGCGGGATAAGGTACTGCACTGCAAAACTGATTCCCTGTAAGGACTTCTCTGTTGACATCCACCCCTTGGTGCTCATATGACATTATGCAGTTGCGCCGTAAAACCTCCACTAAAACTAAAAAAAATACTTACATTTCAACCTTTTTATCTGTTTTCATTGATTAGTATTTTGTATTCTGAACATTTCTGTATGCCATACATAGGGTTTTATCTAATTTAGATATTTCTTTGTATTAATTTTTAGTGAGACTGCCTCTGAGGTCACGAAGCAGTCACAAATTTTTTGCATCCCGAGTCAAAATTATCTGTTGGCTGAATCAGTGAAAGAAAAATAAACTGTGCCTGTCTTTTTCACCCACCCAGGGCCTGGAACAGTACGGAGTGACCCCCCTCCAGTCCGAGTCGCCCGTGTACAACGAAGTCTTCCTGGAGTGGACGGACAAGTCGGGCGGCACGGGCGCTGCCCGCTACGACCACTACGAGGCAGACATGGGTTCGGGGGCTGGCGCGGGCATCAAGATGAACCAACCAGGTAAGAGGAGAACCAGTTAGGTAAGAAGAGATGTGCTTCTGGTTTTAGACATCTCCCTCCCTCCTTTATCTAATTCCACCTCCCTTCTTCCACTCCCCACCCCCCTCCTCTCCCCCTTTGCCTATGGAAGAAGAAATCTGATTGGATTTGTGTAAAATCCAATTTTTATATTGTTGATTTTGTTTCCATTAGTCGTATGGAACTTATCTTATATGATAAGAAAATACACAGGTTTATTTGGGTTTATTTGTAATGTTTGCTTTAGCTTATTATAGATCACGTAAGAAGACACATTTTTATTTGCGTGTGTTTGTGCCATGTCCAGGCCGTAAAGTAATCTGAATATACTTGGGTTTTGGAGACGCCAATTTCTTTTTGGGGTTGTTTGGCAGGTGCTCTGGTGTGGGTTAGCTCCTTCTCTCCTATCAAACATTTATCATCCTTATCTCTCCTCCTTTGTTGTGTTTGTAACTCTCTTGTAACCCCTCTAATCTTCAGCATTTATTTGACCATATCGTTTTGCAAGTGCTACTAAAACTAAACTAAAAAGATTTTTTTTCCCCGGAATCTCTGACATTTCATGGTGGGTTGGTAGGGAAACTCCCTGTTTTTGTTCATGGAGAGATTTGATATTGTGTGATATTATACGATTAGTCCACGGGAAAAAACGGGCATAGTCACAAACTGAAAATCGTGAGGGTATCAATTGAACACTTGTTGACTCAGCTGTATTTCTGTTCGACTGTTGGTTTGATTAGTGTTGTTAGATTTCCCACTCAACAAACGTAACAATAAACCACCAATCGAACTGATGTGAAGTTATGAGTCCACAAGCTTTTAAAATTGACATCCTCACAGCATCGCTCCCCCTGAGGCGAAGGGATACAATATTTTGTGTAAATTGTGCCCTGTCGACTTGGGTTCGAGGATTCTGTGTCAGAATCTCTTCAAGCTCAATTGGACTCGAAAAGAATACTCGGGGCAAAGGATCAGGGAGTAAAATGCTGCAATTTTAAAGATCATAATCTGCAAACTTGCTATCTACAACCCGCTTACAAATACCCCCAACATACCTGCCACTATACTGTCTTCCCACTTAGCTCCTCTCTACACTTGTCTTGGCCCGATAGAATAGGCCAACACTAACGATGTCACCTTAGCAGAGACTGAGCCCACCATTTCGGAACTTCATGGTGACGCAAAGATGGTTCCAGTAGGGAACGGGATAGAGGGTGCCCACGTCCCTCGTGACTCATTGGAGCAGAGGAAGATAGGACTAACACTAACATTACTTAAACGCAATCCCTCATCATCACTCATCACCACTATTAATTCTAAAATCACCACCGCTCTCAGATCAATGACTTACATCTGTAATCCTGGAATCACTATCCGCTATTACAGTTAATTGATATACTAAGTATGCATGTAATACACTATTGGACACAATCATATGCACTTTTTTCTACCAATCAAATGTCGTCAATCTCATAGAAATGGGCAAGGGAAAAAAAAAAGACATCCTCACAGCGTGCAGAGTGTCCAACACTTGTCTGCACGGACCAGGATGCAGATGCGGTACATTAGTGAAACCTGTATCTCTGCAAAAATACCCCAACCATTATTAAAATTTCATCGCACTGAGAAATTTAAAAGTGATGGTCACATGTTCACCAAAAAAGGAATTAGAATTGGAACTTAAAACATTAGATCTAGCTCATTCATCACCCGAATTTTCATCATGGCGTAAGAGTAAAGCAGCCCTCGTGCTAGGTCCTCTTGACATTTTTCAACAAAGATTTTCTCCAATCGTTGTGTACAAACTGATGTTTGACCTCAAAGGCCACACAAACCATCCAGAAAGGAAATTTAACTTTAATGAGTGCGTATGTCAAAAACGAAATCATTGCTACAATGTTTTTGTTGCTACATTCACACCATCACGTCCAGTGGGGGGCAAAGTGTTAAAATTGACACCCTCACAATTTTCAGACCCCCCACCCCCACCCGGGTGGTGCTACCTATTGGAGTGTCATTAGGCCATTTCCAAAGGGGGGGGGGGGGGAGGGACATTAACATCTTGAGTTCGTATGCACAGTAGAATTGTAATTGTAAATGTGCTAATTCATAAAAGTCATGCTCATAACTGTGCCTGAAGTGCAACAGGGAACTGCTTTTTTCTTTCCTCATCCTTACCATCGTCATTTTGCATGTTTGTCACACTCTTGTGACACACTATTTCCTGGGTGACTTGATAGTCGAAGCAGACTTTGTGTTGTTGAAGCTAGAGGGGTGAACAGAGTAAGCCTGATTCCCTGTAACTGTAAGGACTTCTCTGTTGACATCCTCCCCTTGGCACTCATATGACCTTATGCAGTTGCGAGCGCGGTAAATCCTTTACTAAAGCTAAAAAGACTAAACGATTTCCAGTTTGTGACTACGCCCGTTTTTCCTGTGGAGTCCTCGTATCATGTCAGACCTGTCGAATCCTTCCATGACGAAAAATAGGAGTTTTCCTAAGAACCTGCCATGAAAAGTCAGAGATTAGGGGGGATAAAAGATCGTTTTTAGTTTCGTTTTAGTGGGTGGCTGGTAGGTGCTCTGGTGTGGTTTGCTTCTTCTTTCCTATCAAACATCTGTTGTCCTTAATCTATCCTCCTTTTTTTGTGTTTGTTACTCTCTTGTAGTGGGTGGTTGGCGGGTGCTCTGGTGTGGTTTGCTTCTTCTTTCGTCTCAAACATCTATCGTATTTTATCTCCCATCCTTCTTTTCTGTGTTTGTCACTCTCTTGTAACACCTCTAACCTTCGGCACTTCTATGACATTATTGTGTTGCAAGTGCCGTTAAACACTTACAAAAACTAAAAGTTTTGTTGTAGTAGCACTTGCAACCCGATGAGGTCATACTAGTCTGCGGTATTTCCTCTCTCCATCCACAGTACCGGCTCACGCCTCGTCAATGTCGGAGATGCAGGTCAATCCCATGGCCGGTGGTGAGTCGGGTTTTCTCGTCGCAAGGGATAGGACGGTCATGTGTGGCTCTCTTTCTTTTTATCTTTCACTCTCTGCATGCCTTTCTCTTTCTTTCTATTTTTCCCACTCTCTTGACCCCCTCTGACTCTTCCCTCTCTCTCTCTGTCTCTTTCTCTCTCT